TTTTTATTTAAGAACACCTAACATCTCAAATTACGATTTATTGCCTCATAAGAATATCCTTTCTGAAGACAGCAAAATGGGACTTGATTGGAGTTTAAGTCTAATTTTGCACTAAAAGTCTATCACTCCCACCAAAAAAAAACTTTGCATTGCAATTTTTTTAAGAACTTGGTATTCCGTCCTTATACAAAACAAGACAACGAAACAAGACAATTAGTATTTCAATTTGTCAATTTCAAACACATGGATGAAATTAACAGATTTACATTTGGATGCAATTACGGAAAAAGTAATGCTCTGTAATACAAAAACAACAAAAGCTCGTTGAGATCTTCTTTTTGAATAATTTTGTACAACGGAAATCAATTGCTTTCACACAATTTATTGGTTTATTCAATCTAATGATTGCGATGTCGATAGTATTTAAGAGTAAAAATCATTAAAACCCTGAATAAATGTTTGAAATTCATAATATGGTAGACCAATGAATTTAAATATTATAAATGTTTATCAATAATTAAACTATAGAACCACGTTTTCTATTTTGATGTTGCGACAATCGCTGTTTGCAATGCTCAGTTTTCTGATTTGGAGGACGATTAAGTCTCGATAAATTTCACGTTTATGGGGCAAATTAAGAAAAAAATTGATTCAGCCCACACAAGAGCACACAAGGGTCAAATGAACATGTTATTATAACGACAAGATTTTTGGCTTTTCGTCAGTACATTTATGTCGAAAAGAGAGTTGCCAAGTTGAAAAAGATTAAACTCTTGGATAAATTTCCATCTGGCATCATCAACTACTACGAGAAGAAATTCAGAGCCTAAATTTTTATAATAGTGTACGTCGTCTTAGTATTTAGTTCCACTTTTCTAATATTGTGCAACTTGCAATTGTAACATTTGTAATGGAAGGTTTGCAGTACGGCATCTACGTTTGCAATGCTCACTGTATAATATATGAACCGATTTATATAAATAATTTTGATACGATTTCTAATTCATAGCAACTGCTAATTTATACAATTATCTTATTTGTACTATACGTTCCATATACGAAAGAAGCAAATATTTTTCATGCAAACTGGGCAAATAAATGAACTGTCTACCTAGAAAATAATTGTCGTTTTCTATAAATCGTTCGTTTTCCCGTCATAACCCGATAAGAATGTGAACACGTGCATATCAATAAGTGCTAATGTTTTACAGCAGCTCCACGATTTTAACGGTTTGGACAGTACGAGTCGTTAATTCGATGATTGAACTGGGCACAAATATAAAGGCGAATTTGAAATAACCCCACACTGAGAGCCTGGGACTGCCAACACTAAATTCAACGGTTATTTAACCGAATATTCGAGCTGGTTCAATTTACTCGTGGAAAATTCGGAAATAATCAGATTTTGTTTGGGTCAAATTCAGTTTATAAGCGGAGTTTTGTTTTCTCAGCGGGGAAAACAACTTTTCACATAAGCTTGTTTCGGCTTGGAATTAAAGGAAGGTCAAAGGCTTGGGAGAAAAGGATATTGCAGGAAAAGAACTTCCAGTAGATTAAATTAATCTACTTGATTAAACTGCTTTTAAGAGGCAAACTGATACCGCACTTGTGACGCTCAGAAAAAAATGCTATTCCCTGATATACATTATAAGCTCTTAATTTGTTTTCACTAGACAGCTCTTTCCGACTAACTAGGTAACCTAAAGTTGCAAAACATTGGAATTAAGGTATCACCGAACTGATCTACCATGTGAAGATTTCGTCAAATATAATCTGAAGCTGAATCCATTTGTCTGATACAGGCTAATTATTGAAATGGTTATGAACATTTGATAAAAAGCGATCAAGTCAATCGGCGAAAATTCGGATTCTTATGACCCCAAGTTACAACTTGTCACAATCATTTTGCTTGTGATGACCACAAACTTTCATGGAAAGTTTATTGGTGGTTGCAGCCAGTAGGTAAGTTAGAATCTTCTTTGTGAGTCCCTAAAGTCCAAATTACGACTGGAAATAAGCGAAATTTACCGACTGGTAAACTTTTCGTTTTCTTAATGGTTCAAATCCATTTTTTTAGTTTTTAATACAATTAAATAACCGATCCTTATTAAATATTCTAAGTGCGTTTATACACTCTTGATCGATAAGAAGTTGTCTGTTTTATTTTCGCATTTATCATACAATCTCCGTAGACTAGATCTGCATGTTCTCTAATAAAATTTAAAAATGCATAAGTACTCCAGATATATTGACATATTTATCATTAACTGGCAAGACAAATGCATAAGTCTGCGTGTCTGTCGCGAATGCGAAGGAAAAATTATCGGAGAGATAAATTATCTCGCAATAAATGTTCATTTTGAATCAATCTGTATTTTGGCTTTACATCCCTTATGTTTTGCCCGATCTTAGAAAGGATGGATAAAAATATTGTCAAGATTTTTAGATGTTCAAGATGTCAATATTTCACATGTTGATCACTTTCAAGCGAAATCAATTCGATACGTTCTTGTAATGAGACAGCTTGAAAAGTGACAATAAAAACTACATCCTTACAGATTAGCTTTAATAAGCCCTAACTGCAATATGCATACATAATATGGCTTTGATATATTATATCAAAGCCGGACGGGCGGCATTCTTGACATAAGAACTCAAATGTGCTTCGTGTTGCAAGCCAAGCAGTCGGTATAAATCGTACTAAGAAAGGAATATTACAGAGCAAAATAAATAAAATTTGTTGTCACATTTGGCTGCTTTTATATTCAACGTGATTTAGAATTTTGTCGGGAAAACGCAATTCCGGCTCATTGTTAGTACATTGTAGCTGCGATTCTCCTTTGCAAAGGAAACACTAGGATAAAATCTGTTAACCGTGAAAAGCAAAATATTAAACGGGAATTCAATTTTGCGGAATTATGTTGCTCTCAAAGTTCAGCCTTCACCGTGCGGAATTGACAACATCCATTAAACTTAATACTTTATAAACTCATTTCAGATACAAAGCCAGAATTCTACAGTGTATGGTTTTGATGAATTTGGACGACACGTCTGGCAAATAGGTTAACGGCCACTGGACATTTTCAGTTCAATCATTTTCCTAAAATCGGCTTGTAATGCAAATCGTTACACGGCACAGTAATAGCTCAATTTGCGGTTGTTGGAATCATCGATGCCAAACCACATAAAATTGGGCTGCTGTGAAAATGCGAGTCCGAATAATAACCCCACTGAATTAAATTTCTTGCAGCAGTCGGGATCGCAGTTTTGAATAGAAATTTTTGAAAATGTTTTATTTATTATTATATTTAATTTTTATTCATTAGAAAAAAAATCCTTTTTTCTCTAATGTCGATAACATTAATGGAATATTAAACAGATTGGTTGAAACTGTCGAAAAACCCGAAAACTACTACACCTATTTAATAGACTTTCTTTTATCGATTAAATGTGCTAAGTATGTCATGGAACAAAATACATCCGGTTTCTAATTTTGATTAACACCTCATATTTTAATAAATCGAAAATAAAATATCCATATCTATGCATAGTCTGTAGTGAATTTCGAAACTAAAACATTTTTTGTTAATTTTATATCACTGTTTTCTCCATGCTTACATAGACACATAGACGTTCAAATTTAGGGTAATTCTGATGTAAGAACTATAAAGATTCGTTAAGTAGTACAAATAAATTTTCAAACATATGATCTCCCTTAAAAGAGGATAAATACATCAAGCAAAATTGTAAATTAATTAAACTTGGGTACCTGAGAACATTATCTACATTCAACTCTTACTTACTTACTTACAACAAACTTATAACGTTTTTAAGAGTGTTCTCCGAAGAACAGAGTGTTTAACTTTGGCTAAGAAAAACTAAATTTGTTATTTGTTGCTACACTGCTATGGAAATTTAAACATAATTTTGCAGGCGATAACTGACAATGCGCCAACGAATTTTTTATTTTGTTACTGCCGTGTATCCTAACAGGCTAATGTATGTTTTAAAGAAAAATTAGTAATACGGCCCTGTTTTTTCTTAAAATAAGAATCAATTGTGGATTGTTCATTTAGTTTGAAACAAAAAAGTTTTCTTCCAATTACTCTGTACAGCTTGGCGTTTCCAAGAAAAAACGTTTAAAATAGTTGATAACTATTTCATAAATCATCAACAAAAACTACAGGAATTGTTAATCGAATTATTATGAACATGGCCACAGTTCCACTCCGCCAACGCAATTGCACCAATAAGAGAATGGTTAAACCGTCCCCGACTCTCGATTGGCCGGTTGGGAATGAATAGAATAAATGATAAGATCGTCAATGGGATTGGACCAG